ACATCGATACGCATAAACACGCATTTATTCAAACAAAGGAAAACTATCAACCAACAATCTAGCCCCAAATGATGCGTGTGGTCTAAACCTTACTAAGCTTCCACTGTGTGGGATGATGAGAAGATGGTCAAGTTTTTCACATGAGTTTGACTTTCAACTGGAACTTTGTCATTTCAAGAGAGAGACTGTCTTTCACAAACTAGTACCAACTACTCGGCTTTGCTACTTTGATAAATGTACTGCAGATAGTGCTGGCAGGATTCTTACACTGGATCCAAGCTAGGAGACATCATCCTGTAGTTTGTTTATATACATTTCCCTTGTTTTTCCTGGTCCTTAGCAGGATATAACACCGGACAGCAGTAATGCACCTACAGGCTGTTTGCATCGTTAAATCACAAAAATGAGAGAAGGCCACCAGAGGCCTGTACTGTGCAGCAGGATTTTAGGCCATCCAAGTAACTTCTGGGTTAACTCTTGGTTTTCTGTAGTGCAAAGGTGGTTGACATCATACTGGGGTACATCGCTATGGTAACTTACGATGTCCACCTAAGTCATTGGCTACTGACCAATCAATTCTCCAGAAAATAGCAGGATCCCTCTGACCTCTACAGGCAGAGTAGGAGGGACTAAAGTCTTTCAGCAGTGCCTAATGTCTCTGCGCTTCCCTGATGATTATCAGAAATAAATATAGATTTGTAGATATAACTTTATAATTGAATGTTTTATCCGTCAGCTGCATCCTAAAACAGGACACCTACACTGTACTTGCTGTCCTCATATGACATCTCTGCACAGATTAAGCCTTTGAACTGTTTTTATATTTAATCTGTCAAACCCCTTAAACAGCACTGAGTCTGCAGCTGAAAGAATAAAAACTAAAACTGTCAGAAGGTTACAGATTGTAGATTCTCTGCTGGGGAAACACATTTTACATGTGCAGCTTGTTAAGCTGGACCTACAACCACAGAACGAAGCGTAAACTTTCCCATTGTCCCCCGAATGTGCGCATATAAATTTGGTGATTTAGAAAATGTGTAAAATGTTGTTATACTTGATTCTGATCTGCTGCGAGATATCTTTTGCAGCTACTGGGATGAAGATCGCCCAACAAGAGCACCTGTTCAACCAGTCAGATTCATTTCTCCTTTATCAGGCTGTGGGCAGTAACATTTAATGTTTAAATGACTCCTGTTTAAAGTTTCAGATCTTTAAAGTGCACCTTAAAAACAAACAGCAGCATGGAGAGAGCATTCAGGAATAATATAAATGTTGCAGCTGTGTGCGAGAAATCACCAGATTCATGATTTGTAGCACTGCTGTCCCATCTTATTTGCAGCAATGTTGCATTTGCTGTTAGATTTTTATCATCATCTGATTGGTGTGGGTGACACTCACAGGGATCGTTTTGTGTGGAAGAAGACTCATATATGACCAGTGAAATGCTCCTTTCAGATTGGTCAAATGCTGCCAACACCACTCCTTTCATATACCTGTGCTGATGAAACCCTAAATTAGTTTTGGCAGTTGATAACCAGCTTTGAGTGACCACTTATCCTCATTGCTAATGTTAGGATGAGTGAATCCACATAATGGCAAGTTGGTTGTGTAGAACTTGCTGTGGTACAGGGCCCAGGTGTTCTAACTCAGTACCAGATACTGGACTGGTAAATCATCTGTCTGCTAAAGTGTTTGCTTTATGAGACAGACATGCTGGAAGCATTACGCTTAATCCAAAGATTAAGTAAATGGTAAATGGACTGGTTCTAGCGCTTTTCTACTCATCTGAGCACTCAAAGCGCTTTACACAACTTGTGCAGTCACCCATCTTTCTAAGATGTGCATGAATGCATAGCTAACATTCACACACATTCATACATTCACATGGATGCATCGGAGAGCAATTTGGGGTTAGTATCTTGCCCAAGGATATTTGGCATGTAGACTAGGGGAAGCCAGGAATCGAACCACCAACCTTCCGATCAGTGGATGACCTGCTCTACCTCCTGAGCTACAGCCACTCACGTCAGTTACTAGTGAATATCAGTATTTTTACTTTAAATGTCAGTCCTATTTAGAGCACACACGTGTTTCTAGATCACTGAAGGATCATTTTTTCTGTATTATAAAACAAAAAAGGTTTCGTACATATCGGACAAAACATACACGGACACAACACGTTAGTATCCAATGATAATCAGTTGGAATATCACGTGATTCTGTGTAGAAAAGGACACTCATTTAGAAACAATGTTTCTCTTTTACGACTGCATTTACAGCTTTAGAAGGTGTAGACAGTAAAAAGTCAAACTCAGGTACACTAACTAAATTGCTCAGTTGAAGAATGCATTGACTTATAGAAGTAGGTAAAACTGAGATGTTCATGCAGTTCTCTGTGCAAAGAGTGCAAAGTAGGTTAGCTTAGCATCGAGTCGAGCCACAGGTTGTGAAAAGATTTGTTGGTGAGGACCTTTATCTTGTCTTTGATTATTGAGGTGGATATTTCTCCCTGAGCTCGACTCACAGACTGGTACAGATTTTCTTCCTGGAAGAAAGCGGTGTGTGTATTTCCCAAAATACTGAGCTGCTTAAGGTTCTCACTGGATGGCGCTTTGTTGCGTTTGAATCCAGTGTGAAATCCTTTACAAACATTCTTTGTTTACTTTTGAACTTTTACATGTTTGAATATACCAGAATGCTTTAAGCAAACTAACGTTTAAGAACTTCAGTTCAGTGATTGGTATTTCAAAAGCTACGATAAGTAACATTTTTATGGAACAAAAAGGATCATTGAAACATTTTGTATGCTGTTTTTTGCTTATGAGGAAAATAATAATAAACTGTGTGCATTTGGTTAACTTGAGTTCAAATCTGACCAGATTCAAAAATGGAAAAACTGGAACAGTCCTTCGTGGTGGCAAGCAGCACTAAAGCAAACTAATAGTCACCGACTCTGAAAGCAGACTCTTTGTCTTTAGGGCGTAACAGGACACTTTCTTCTAAACGTCCTTAACTGCAAGCTGGAGTCAGATATCATCGAATCACGCTGAACCATTTTCGAGCTTTGGGTTTTACATAATTATGTGTTCACATTGCCGTCTCCTACATTCTAACCACTGTGCAAGAAACGGAGAATAATCACTTGACCAAGCCAGCACGCGGTCATCAGTGTGAGCCCGGCGTGAGAGCAGACAGGGATAGAAAACTGCTGCTCGATTCGAGTCCCATAGTTTCACCGCAGCAGAGGCAGGATTCAGACCAGGCAGGAGTCAGACGGTGTGTTTGCCAGCAGTGATAACGGGCTATCGGAAGTAGAAGTGCAGTATGCGCTGTCGTGTATATAAGAGTGTTTAAATGGATTAAAATGTCTATTAGATTATATGTATAGATCTATTCAGATGTTTAGAAGAAAAAAATTCTAAGAAGATAGATTTATTGTTGTCAGAGCTGACCTGATGACCTAAGCACTGGTCTCATCTGCCCCGTCATCATCTGTAACCAGCTCGCCCCCCTCCGCCCTCCACCTCCGTCAGTCACACAGCTCCGTAGATAGAAGGCGCTCTCTCCAAGTAGATTTTTTCAGAGCACTCTTAGATAGAGCGTTGATATGTGCTTGACAGTAAGCAGTGTCTGGAAATATATCTGGTTTTCTTCTGCCCTTATTTGCGTTCATGTCGCACTCCACAGCTTCACGTAGGCGCTGCTTTTTGAGGTGACAAATGAAACATACACAAGTTCTGTGTTCTGTGAACATTAGCCGTACGGAGGCCGGCACGGGACAATGCTGCTACAATCCTGTTCCTGTTTGAACTTCTTTTCAAAACACGTACAGTGGCGTGCCAGGCGGGGCAGAAAAGCACAGTATTTTTAAAGATTTGTATAGAGTTCTATGAAATTTTATAGAGGTTACCTGAACAAAAACTGTTCAACACTGATGTGTGGATTGCCAAACAGAAATACCATATATACGTAGATGCGATGTGGATATTATTAAACTTATGGGTTATGTAAGAAGCAATATTTATTCTAACTGAATCTCCTTGGTTGTGTTTTCTTTTGCCATTTTAAAGTTACATATCATGATGCAATCACTTGTCAGTGTTTTATTAAGCGTTGCCTAAAATAGATGCACTCTCTACTGCAGTAGTAATCATATACTTTGACCAATCAAGTGACCACTGAACCCAGGCTTTGAAATCCCCGAGTCTGGGTTTTTGTTAAAAAACACAAAAGTTACATTTCTAAAAGTATATCTGCAGGCCATGTTGATAGGAAACTATATGAAACGTATATATATATATATGTGTGTATGTATACATACAGAGATCCACCAAAAAGATGTGCGGTGCCTGTTGATCCCTTCCTGTGGATCAGTGGGTCACTCAGCACTTTTATCTGTGGACATGTAGAGCTGAGTAGATGTAGTAATAATCTTTAAAGAGCATCACCGTAGCGTGGCGTTTCACCGGGCCGTGTTCACCACAGGCATGGCTCACTAACCCACTTCCACTCCCCGTCAAAACACTGCTCCCACTCTTTCATTGTCCAACATTTGGGTAACTTTTTCTTTTTTTTATTTTCTTTTTGATCAATTAAGTTCTGTTTTTTTCCCATGAATAGATTTTACTCATTGATTAAGTCTTCATAGAGGCTAAGATGTTTTCGGTAATTTGTGCAAAGACTTGTGTTCATGTTTTCTATGTTGCTGTAATTTTGTGCTATTAAATCATCATAGAGTCAACTAATTACTGAAATGAAAAGAGAGAGAATTTTCCTGTAACTGCACTCTTCCTTCCCCCTCCCCCCTCAATTCCTCAAAACTTCTTGTATGGCAACCAAAATTCACTGTAAGAAATAAATATAATATTGCACTACTGTATCCCTCTCAGTCCTTATAGTACAGGCCTGGTGCGTGGGTCTAAGTGTCTGTGTGTCAGCTAAGAAGCAGCCAGCCACACCTGAGCCACACCTGAGGTAGTCGGTCTGTGGGGATGAACTAAATCCCGTCATCTGGAATAACAGGAAGCATCTTTTCTTTATTACGCAGACGCTGAATGCTCATATAACTGCGTTTTGTTGTCCTGCTTTGTACGTTCCACAGTTACGGTCTCTTTGTTTTTGGTATGTTGGCTGAGAATCGTGTGCATCGCCAGAATAATCAGACGATTACACCAGAGCGTTTCCTTTTTTTCATTGAATAGGGTGGTCCAGAGAAAATCAGAAAAATTGTGTAAAAATTCCTACTTAAGCACAGTAACAGCGAGTGCTTAGCAACCTTAGTATGGATGAAGACGTAGCTGGAGAGCAGTGAGGTAAAAGTAGTTATGAAGAATAAGTTGGATGATGTTTCTGCATCACAGATGCACAGGGACCCTCCCAGGAGATGATTTGCATACTAACTCCATTAAACTGAACTCAGCTGCTCCTTTGTCACGTGTCACCACAGCAGGAAGCTCCAAATGTGATGTGTCCTGTCCTTACAACAGCCACCAATGGATTTGTGTCTCCAGCTGGAATCAAACCAGTGACCTTTTGCTTGCCAAGTGAACGCTTGAACCACTACATTATGGAGCCACAAACAGAGTACAATATTAATCTTCTAAAGTATTGAGTGATTAAACTTTAAAATATATTAATCCAATTCCACATCAAAGTTTCTAAATTCCAGTATTTATTTAGTACATTGTTCAGTTAAACAGGAATTCTTTTACTCTGTTTCCATGAGAATAAACACAGACCAAAGATTTTTTTGGATGTGTGTCACTGGGCCGAGGCCTCCAGCTGCTGGAGGGGGGTGCTCCTGGATTCCCTGTTCCTTCATCCTCGACCCCTCCCTCCTCGTAGAGCAGCATCCAGATACACCTGGTAGGCCAACTGGGGGCATCCATTAAATGAGGTGGGTGCAAGCTGGCTGGGCTGTTTGTTTCTCCTGTTCTCTCTCTTTCAGGTGGATTCGTTAGCCAGGCTGCAGTCGGTCTCAGCCTCTGGGTGGAGCATCCTTACCTGGCCTGCCTCGCACACCTGTGAGTCATCTGTTTCTTTCATTTAAGACTGCTGTGTAAGTCTGGGTGAGAGGTGGGGTACACCTTGGACAGGTCACCAGTCTGCAGGGCTAACACAGCGAGACAGACTACTGCTGTAGCTCAGGTGGTAGAAAAGGTTACCTGCTAACTGGAAGGCTGGTGGTTCAATCCCTGTCTGCTCAAGTCTGCATGTGAATAAACCACAAGACTTCTGTAGCAATGTGCTTTGGACAGGTGAGGTCAAACTTACTGTAACCTGTAACGGTGGTTGGACGTGTGGTGATCTGAGCTTGTTTTGCAGCCTTGGGCTGAATACAAAGCTTAACGTGCCCGGGGAATCTTTCCATTTACTGGCTTCACGCTAACATCAGCAGTCAGGATAAGAATCACATGATCCAACTCACCAACCCAGCGTTTCCTGATCTAGGTACAAGCTTGTTCACGTGAAAGGAGAATGAAAGTAATCCAGCTGCTGCAGATAAAGTAGTGATGTGAGACTGAGAAGAGTCATCAAGTTAAAGGTAGGAATAAAAACCGACCGCGCTGATCTGTTCTCATCGACTAGTCCATTAATTTAATGTTTATATTTGCATTAGACTGTTTTAATTGAGTTCCATTTTATTTATGCAGCACCAAATCATAACAGCAGTCGCCTCAGTTTTCATTCTTGGAAAGCTGCAGCCCCAATGTTTCATAGTCTGAGAGCAAGTAAAGCACGAAAACAAAACCAGAGTTCAAATGCAGGCATAGTCTACCTGTACAGTACAAACAGGTGCGCTGGTTTATATGTTAATGCTTATAGAACAACAAAACTGTTTGCAGTGAAAAGGGAAAAAAGTCAAGTCATGTCATACCTAGGACCAGATGTTGGTATGCTCCAGTAAGAAGAGAACCACCTTTGTAGTACAGAAAATCCAGTTTTAACCCCAAAGTTACCTGGATAAGATGAAATTGTGCTTTTAGTACAGGCTGCAGCCAAAACCAGTGGTTGACGTGGCTGTGTCCATCATTCATTTACAGTCACAATTCAGCAGTTGTAAGCAGCAGATCAGTTAAAGCTTCCTTTTCCCAAGTCTACAGTTGATCCCTTTACGTTTGGTTCACTCCAGCAGATTCAATGTAGCACTAAAATGTTGGATGTTATCTAGTTTGGTAGTTGCCACATTCACATTACAGCCAAGAGAACCCCAGTGCAAGAACAGGAGACACAAACTGAACCTCAGGGGTCACAAGCTAGACCCAGTGCCAGGCCCAAGCTTGGGTTTATGGGAAGCTTGTGTCAGGAATAGCATCCAATGGAAAATCGGTGTCAAATTATACATGGATCTGTGTGTTAAAATAAGGAGAATAAGGAAGCAACCAAAAGTTCCACTGATTTGAATCATTTATATCATGTTTTCTCTGGCTAGAGTTTCTTCGCACACCCACGTACACGCACCGGACAGCTAAAATACAGCGATGGAGACTGAAACAGCTGATTGTTGGGGGTTTCTTTGTATTATTGCAGCATCTTTACCTTACAATAAGTGCCTTTAGGCACGGCACTATGTAAAATTGAACTGAAATTGAAAAACTAAATCCGTCTAGGTCAAATGCAGGAAAGCTTGAAACAACACAGACAAGTTAGAATGGCCTAAAATAATTTATTATCAAATTAACAACATTTTATATTTATTTAGTCCTGATTTACTTCAAGGGTGCTAACATTTAGCTCTTGACACGCAGCACTTTTTTTCTCATGTGTGCGTTTTCTGTTTTGTGCTGTTTCCTTCAGCTCGGCCACCACCCTGCACATCACATATTTATTCACGGCGACCCTCTCGATGGCCTTTGAGTGGGCAGGATGGATGCGGTGGAGCTCACTGAAAGCACCGCTGGCTCTGAGGTAGGCCTTTAATTTCTTCGGGGCCATTGCATTTGGGGGGATTTTTTGGATGACACTGTCACATTTCGAAATGCATTCTTTGAAAGCTTCGGATGGATGAAGCAGCCGGGCAGAGGTTGGGCTTTTCTTCACAGCTGAGACGGCATCCTTCTCCATCCGTGTGTGATAGTTGTGCTCAGTGTCATTGGTCTCCACAAGCAAACTTTCACATTCGGTACAAGCACTGACTTCTGGATCTTGAGCCACTTTCTGCACCACCCATCCAGCTACATCAGCAAGTTTCTCCTCCTCACCTCTCTCTGGGTCACCCGGTGTGTCCTAAAAAAAAGAACCGTTAGTGAAAGCTGAACTATTACAAAAATGTGTTGACCATGTTCACCATTTCTCCTAACCCCAGTCAGAGAACCCACAGAGACACAGAGAGCACGCAAACTCCTCACAGAAAGGTCCCAGACTGCATTTGAACGCAGCATCTTTTAATTGTGAGGTGACCGAGCCAACTACTACAGTTCGAGTCATTTAAAGTAAACCGTCTGAACGTCTGAAGCTATGGTTCTCTTCAAGTGAGGGTGTTTGAAGATCTCAGAGATTTATTCTCGTCGACAGTCTCAAAGCCAAAACTCACTGAAATCTTAAAGCTGATCCTTAATTTTTTAAAAAAAGGTTTCATATCTTTGTTTTGCCCTCACATTTTTTTTCTTATACAGACACAAGAACGTTTGAGCCTCGACTTTTTTTCAGCTCTTCAGCTCAGAGAGCGCAAACATAAATAATTAAAACATGCACAGCTCAATTGCCTTGATTTGCTAAAAACACACTCTTCACTGTTACTGTCATCACCTTCTGACTGGCAGGCCATCCCAAAGGCTCCCGATCCTCCTCTTCACTCTAGTTTAAGAAAGAAATACAGTTTCATTCACAAACAAGTAATAACAGAGTGATCATTCACACAATGGCCTGAAGTGAGGTTCATTCTTTTACTGAAGACATTTAAAAGTCTCTCTCAGACACGCATTCAATTGGAACATATGTGTGGCATCTTTGACCAGGTACAGTCTAACAAAGTGAACATTTTTACATTCAGCCATGACCATATGGTCATTGATATGGTCATTTGGCACAATGTGCTATTCCCATTTTATTACGCTACCTGAAATCTAAATTGCTCAGTCTGAGCCAGTCCCACCAACGTACGCCATCTGATCCTTCGTAATTATTCTCCCCTGACACCACGTTGTGTTTTCGTGTCTCCTTCAGACTTCACCTTCTTCCACTCTGTCACTCTGTGTTCCTCCCTCTTCTTGAAGTATTTAACACAGCAATTTCCATTCTTTTTACAAAATCCACTATCATCTGTAGGGTCGTTTAAGTGTTAACTACCTAACTACCGTATTTTCCGCACTATAAGGCGCACTTAAAATCCTTTAATTTTCTCAATAATCTACAGAGTGCCTTATGTATGAATTCTGGTTGTGCTTACTGACCTCGAACCTTTTTTTGATGCAGTACACGGCGCTTAAAAAGTTGTCAAAAATGTTTTAGTACGACTTTGGTAAGCTACGAAGCCGAACCGCTTGATGGATTGTTGGAGCATTACGGCTACCGTAGTCAGGAGCCTCGCGGAGTAATCTGGGTCCTAAACTCCGTCTGCTTCAGGTCTCAAAGTCAAACAAACACTGCGGCATCACTGAGAGTTACAAACTGTCTAAATTCTTTCATCTGTAATAAAATGATCAGCGTTGCTGCTTTACCAGGTGTAACAATTAAGTTTAACATCCAGGCATCCATGAAAACAGAATTTATTAAATGTAAAAGTTAGCAGGAAGTTAGCTCACTAGCTAAGCACGATATAGCATGTTCTGACTGATAGATTTCTGACAACATTCAAACGTACAGCTCTGCTATCACTTCCAACATAAATGAAGACAGAAAGCTAAACAGCAGTGACGTTTGTAGGGTTACTGAAGTTGGGCTAGCTGGTATAGAGATTGAAAATGTGACGTCATTCAGGGGTAAAACTGCAAAGGATTCTGGGAACTCATGGCAAGAGGTACTAGCGCACGCAGGCTTTCAATTGAAATTACATTACACAGCGATAAAAAGAAACACAAAAAATGGCAAGAAGCTGTTGTATTATTAACTGCAATAGCCGGTCGCATGACAGCCACGGGAAGCCGACAGGTAAAGACATCAGTTGTTATCAGATTACGTCGTTTCATGGGCTGCATCCTCCTGAGGCCGCATTTGTAGACAGATTATGTCACAGCGACGCGACGAAGGCTGTCCAAATTCGTAGACTCTTCCGAATGCAGCCGACAAACGTATGTCCTTCGTGGCCTACCATATCCCAGAATTCATAGCGCGGCCCAGCCAAACTCCAGTTTCCAACAATGGCGGCCGCTACTAAGTTTTAAAATTACTCTTACTAATCTTTCTGGGTCACAAAATAAACTTTTAACATGTTTTCAGGCGAGAAAGTAGCTGTCAAATATCTGCTCGGTTTATCAAGATATCGCATATTTGCAAAAGTGCTTCGACATTTTCGGAGACGTCTGCTACCCACCAGCTCGATAGCTAGTCGGGAGCTTGAGGGTCACTGAAGCCGCCGAGAACGGCACAACTCCCGGTACATCATTTTCAGATCACTTTCGCTACTCAGGTTAAACGTAATATATAAGTCACTTAGACAACCTAAAAGTGTTATTGTTGGGCTTTTTTCAGTGTTTTATTTGTTCGTGAGTTAATCGGTTTGGCTGAGATTAAAGTTATTAGATTAGATAAAATAAAACTTTATTAATCCCCCGGGTGGGTTCCTCCTTGGTTTTCACACAGCTGACTGAACGTCAAACAGAAAACTGATTAAACAGAAGTATGAGATGGTCGAGAATTTACGCCAGTGTCCTGTTATATTTTGGATAGCAAGGAGCAGACAGACGAGTTTATTAAACTCCACCGAGACAGCGGTGACGCTAATCTGAAGGCTAGACCGTCCAATTTCCCCAACCGTTTACTTCCGGCCTACCCGACCTTCTGAGGACCCGGCCCACGTACACCGCGAAGGCCGGGTCCTCAGGAGGATGCAGCCCATGAATTTGGACACGACCCTTGTGTTTGTTTTGATTCGTGGCCTTCTCAAATGGTGCCGCGCTCCCACAATGCATTGCGGCGTTACGTCAACTCCAAAGCTATGTTTGCTACGTGATCACTAGCTACACAGCTATGTTAGCATAACATAAATGCAGTGAAGCTGGAGGATGAACTCGCTTTTTCCACTCAATAAATGTTAACCCGAGGGTTCCCGATGGTTAGGGACAAATGCAATCGCATGGCAGGATGCTGTAAACGGACCAAACTTCAGTCAGGAGAACAACTGAGATAATCCATCCACAATACGAGGTTAGTCATTAATATACTGCAACAACATGGGAACAGAGCAACTGCCAGAGAATTCAGCATTAATGAATCAATGGTACAGAAGTGGAGGAAGCAAGAAGAATGAGCTGAGTAAAGTTTGACTTATCTGACTGCTTTGTTTCACTTAATGCGCCTTATGGTCCGAAAAATACGGTGGTACTCTTCTCCTCTGTTCTGTGGACAGCTACAGGTACCTTGGTGTTCATCTGGACAATAAACTGGACTGGACTCATAATTCAGATGCTCTCTACAGAAAAGGGCACAGCAGGCTGTTTTGCTCTTTTGGAGTGAAGGACCGACTCCTGAAGACCTTCTATGACTCTGTGGTGGCCTCAGCCATCTTTTACGGTGTGGTCTGCTGGGGACAGGAAGAGACCGAAGAGGCTGGAGGCCCAGCTCTGTTCTAGGACGCTCTCTGGACCCTGTGGAGGTGGTGAGTGACAGGAGAATGGCGGCTAAGCTGTCATCGCTGTTGGTCAGCATCTCCCAGCCCGTGCAGGAGACTCTGACATCACTGAGCAGCTCCTTCAGTGGCAGCTGCGGCACCCACGATGTGGGACGGAGAGACTCCGCAGGTCTTTCCTTGCTACTGCTGTCAGACTCCACAACAAAGATTTCGCAGCTGACCAAACACACACATCTACACAGGTGCAATAACACTAAGTAATTTTTTTTCTTCTGACAATGTAGTATTTTATTCTATTGTATATAGTGTTTTATTCTTATTATCTTATCCTAACATCTCCCAAACATCTCCCAGTGTCACAGTGGATCAGGTCAGGAGGCAACTGAGGAAGCTTCGCCCCAGAAAGGCAGCAGGCCCAGACAAGGTGTGTCCTAGGATGCTAAAGGCGTGTGCTGCTGAACTTGGGGAGCCGCTACAACGAGTCTTCAACCTCAGTCTGCGACTGGGGAGAGTGCCCGCCCTATGGAAGACATCCTGCATCGTCCCGGTCCCCAAAAAGAACCGGCCCAATGAGCTGAATGACTTCCGACCGGTGGCACTGACGTCACATCTTATGAAGACTCTAGAGCGGCTCTTCCTCAACCTCCTCCGACCACAGGTACAACATGCCCAGGACCCACTACAGTTTGCATACAAGGCGGGTGTCGGAGTGGAGGATGCCATCCTGTACCTCCTACACAGAGCCCACTCACACCTGGATGGGGGAAAAGGCACGGTCAGGATCCTGTTTCTTGACTTTTCCAGTGCCTTTAATACCATCCGGCCCTGTATGCTTCAGGAAAAACTGAACAGGATGGAGGTGGACCCCTGCCTGGTGGCTTGGATCTCCGACTACCTCACCGACAGACCACAGTACGTCAGGCTGAAGGACATCACGTCTGACACAGTGGTCAGCAGCACAGGAGCACCACAGGGAACTGTGCTGTCCCCTCTTCTCTTCACCCTGTACACCTCTGACTTCTGCTACAACTCTGAATTATGCCATATTCAGAAGTTTGCAGATGACACAGCCATCATGGGGTGTATCTGGGATGATCAGGAAGAGGAGTACAGAAGTCTGGTGAGGAACTTTGTCGCATGGAGTCACACAAACCACCTGCAACTCAACACCTCAAAGACTAAGGAACTGGTTGTGGACTTCGGGAGGTCCAGAGAAGGTCCACTGCCGGTTCAGATAGAGGGGGAGGAGGTGGAGGTGGTCAACAAGTACAAGTACCTCGGGCTGTGGGTGGACAATAAACTGGACTGGTCATGCAACACAGAGCACCTGTATAAAAAAGCCCAAAGCCGACTGTACTTCCTCAGGAGGCTGAGGTCTTTTAACATCTGCAGGAAGCTCCTGAGGATGTTTTACCAGTCGGTGGTTGCTGGAGTACTTTTCTATGCTGTGGTGTGCTGGGGGAGCAGCACAGCAAAGAAGGACTCATCCAGGCTGGAGAAACTGATCAGGAGGGCTAGCTCTGTGGTCGGCATGAAGCTGGACACTCTGGTGACAGTGGCAGAGAAAAGGACATAAAGAAACTGATGGACATTATGGACAATGCCAGGCATCCTCTGCACACGGCCATTAACAACCAGAAGAGTCTGTTCAGTGACAGGTTGCTTCTCCCCAAGACAAGAACTAACAGACTTAAAAACTCCTTTGTCCCACACGCCATCAGACTGTTTAACTCCTCTCTGGAGGGGAGAGGGAGGGGAAACAGGAGGACAAAGGAGGGGGGAACAACTAAGCTGTAGTGCCTCTTCACCTCACTGTGCAATACTTTTGTAAATAGTCAACAGTGCAATAGACTCAATACTTGAAATGTGCAATTCACTTGTATTTTTATTTTTTATTCCTATTTATTCTATTTATCCCCTTCGTATATTTTATTTATATTGTCTCTGTATTTATATATATGTGTGTGTAATATTCTGTAACTCTGTAACTTCTGTCGGTGCTGTGCTTTTTTGGAAATCGAATTTCCCAGAGGAACCCACCCGAGGGATTAATAAAGTTCTATCTAATCTAATCTAATCTAATCCAGTGTTTTTCTTAATTTTTGCTGCTGTAACTTTGCACTGTCCACTTTCTGCTGTGACACAACAAATTTCCCACGAGTGGGACTAATAAAGGCTCATCTTATCTTATCTTGTTCCCTTCAGCTACATGTCCACTGATGTGTGCTCCAATCACCATTCTCTACCACTTCATCCAACTTACTCCAGAATCCCTCTGTCCCTGTTAACATCAGACGTGTGGGGCATCCTGTCCTCACCTTCAGAACACTACTGCCATACTCTTCCTATCTACACTATGATAGAACAGTTTGAATCCACCTCTAGTGCTCCAGGCCTTGCTTCCCTTCCACCTCATCTCTTGCACACATAATAATATCACACTTCGTTCTCTCCAAAATGCTCAGTATGTTGGATTTATCTATGCTTGGGACCGCCACTAGAAGTATACCGGGTCAAGTCCCCATCAAAAGAAAACCCAGTAATCTGGTATCTCAAATTATTAGAATATCTGATGTCAAGTTTGAGTAATTTACTATTTAAACTGTAGAATTACTACAATAGAAATACTGTATTTCAGTAAATGTGACCCGCTTACTTGACAGTTGTCTGGTTGATGATCATTAGTAGGTAAGAGTGCTGGATCAAAGCATATTAATGGAAAACAGACTGGAAGAGGTACATACGGCAGGAAAAGGTGCTCAAGCACAGGGATGACCTTCAGAGGATTGTCAATGAAATTTGAGAGATCTTCCTTAGAGATCTACTAAGGAGAAAAAAACTGAACCCATGCTCAGTAATTCGGATTCAGAAGTCTGGAGGAAGACCGGAGAGGTACAGGATCCAAGGTCTCTGCGGTCTGTGATGGTTTGTGATGCTATGCCATCTGCTGGTGTGGGTAGTGGTTAGTCCACTTTGTTTTATCAGGTCCAAAGTCAACGCAGAAGATTTCAGAGGACTTCATGCTTTCATCAGCTATTACACTTTATGGAGATTCCTTTTGCAGCAGGACTTAGCCTCTGTTTATGTGCTACAACTATGACCTGATGGTTTGCTCACCGTGTTATTGTTGTGCTTGATTGGCCAGCCAACTTGACTGACATGAATCCCTCTGAGAATCTGTTGGTTAATGTTGAGGTGCTGGAGTTCTGATTTTCATAAACTACAAACCAAAATCTTAAAATTAAAAAAGGCTGAAAATATCTAAGGAATCTAGAATATGTGAAAGTTGACCTCCTGGAACTAAATCATGAAAAAAGAGAACTTCTTTAAAGTATCCAGATTTTTTCGTTAGTACATTCAAACTTACTGGACTCGCTTCCTGACTGACCACCTGGTGCCTCCTCAGAGTGGTTGAAGACGGTAACTGAAACATTTTTTGGAGTTCAGAGTAACAGCTTGGGCTCTGTTTGTACAGCTGGATTGCCATGTCCTTTTGTTTCTTGTCATATCTCTGGCCGTGTTTCCTCACCTTGGCCATGGCTATTTGCTTGTCAAAAAACTCCTTTGCTGCCTGTGGAAGGCAGTCGGAGGCAGCAGTCAGCTGATCGCCTTGGTCACTGCTACTGTTCTGCTGCTGTTCGAGTCTGAAATGAAGCACATTCATATTTACTAAATGTACTGTTTTTACTGCAATGACACATATAACCGAACTGCTACATACTTTCTTTTCAGTTCTCTGATTTTGCTGTTCATGCGGAACTTCATCAGCCGCATTCTGGCCCTCTCTCTCTGCAGAATGCTTTTCAGATCCTTGATTTTCTAAAAGTGTATTAAAAGATATTTATAGTTTCTATGAAAACAACATATTTCAATAGAAAAGCAGGATTCTTTGATTCTGTTTGACCTCATCCTTCTCTGCCAGCAGCTTGTTAAACATTGCCACGACCTGTTCATATGGGGGTGTGTCTTGCAGAGGCACTGGAGCATGAACATCAGTAGAAGGCATCTCCAAATCTAGAAGAACACAATTTCAAATGTTACTACAGCACCAGAAAAGTTACACACAATATGTTTTTAAAAACTGTCTGTCAGAGACAAAAGAATGTAAACCATTATTCTCACTGAATGTCTGTACCTCTCTGTTCCTCCTTTATAGTGTGCAGAAGGATGGGGACGGCTTCAGGAGCCAGACGTTTTCTTCTACCCTTAAAAAACAAAGTGCAACTTTAAGAGAGTCTGCACCAACAAGTAATAAACTTCTATAACATCTGTATGTACAAATTGGTCTGTATGCTGCACCCATTACAAAAGAAAAGGGTGCTTTCAGCTAAATGAAGGCACCTGTGTGATATAAACCGTCAGGACAGCAGGTTACAAGCTAGCAGCAAATGTGCTACTGCCTAATACGTGCAGGTGAATAGTGGCCTTGTGAAAAAAACCTCACATCTGTGAATGAAACTAAGACAGCATGCTTCACACAGAGACTTGGGCCGGCTGCCCCTCCTCCAGCCGGTTCTTCCTGTTAAAAAGGACGTTTTCTTTCCCACTGTTGCCAAGTGCTCACTCATGCTCACTCATAGGGGTTGTAGGGTCTTTTCTCATAGAATATAAAGCACTGTTGTTCTGATTTAGATTTATATAAATGGAATAAAATTGAAATGAAGTGTTGGAACTGAGTCTGAAATCCTGGAGATCGATTGTTAACTTTACAAGAAATACTTGGAAGCAAAAAGAAACAATGGGCTGCTTTCTGCCTTCCTGACCCACATCTGTGAGAAACAGGGTTTACCTTTGAGTTTATGTCCTTTGGCCTGAAATGTTGTTCGCAGACCACATACCCAGCTCTGTCGGACTCTTCTCTCGTCATGTCGGGGGATAAGTCTGCCCTCATCAAATTAAGAAGCCATTTCCGCCTCCTGTATTAATTATTCACATTGCTTCAAAAACAAATCAGATCAGCTTCACAGACTTCTTCTGCATGTTTCGCTATACACGTGTTTAAGAAACAGCTGTTCGCGCATTACTTATGCCACATTACTGCCTGACGTCATTACGTAAAATCAGAAGTGATTTAAACGTATAAAACCAAAGTATTGCTATGTGACAGTTACCTTGGTAACGCCTCGAGGCACCTTTGCTAAAGAAAAACTAATTTGGATGTCTCTTTTTTTAAAGGTCAGTAACCAGGTAAAGCGCTTTTATAACCCTTGACTGGTGACTGTGCGTGGAGTTTTTCGCCCTCCGTGAACATTATAAACGAAAGCTAAATCAAAATGCTACGTAAGTACCTGCAGACGTTACCAAGATGGCTGCCGAGTGGCGAGGTTGCTATAAGGATGAATCACCTAACGGGACTGAGCTGATGTGATTAAATACCACAGAGTAAGAAACCTTGCGTATCTCCGCTGATGTAAGTCTTTAATGACTGGTCTGTTGACGAAAACACGTCATTTAAAACATTGTGATTTTGTGACTAAGTTACCTTGTACTGTCCTTTGGGAATGCGAAAAACGAAAGCCCACAGCCCACTCGATTATTACAGCCGCAGAAAGCACACAAACGTGGCATGCTAACTTGTTATTGTATCCACGTTGTACTAACTAATGCTCATACAACAATTACATTTGATTTTGCAAAAACTGAAGTCCACTAAGCCGCCATCTTGGTAACGCATCCGGGCAGTTATAGCGCCTTCACGTCGTGTCGGAAAAATAAGTGTCCTGCTGTTCCAAGAAGACTGCTGCTTTATAACACATTCACCTGTTCAGCATGGTGCAAGAGTCTGACTGACCCTTCATTTCTTTAGAAATAGGTGCAGTGATTTACTAAAACGTGCAAGTATAGCAAACATAAATGCAAAATATAATGTATAATCCTAATAAGACATAAAATGATAGTATATATTTAATTATATGGAGTCCGTTGGTGACTAAGAATTTCTAGGTGCAAAGTATTCTGTATGCTTTGAACACAAATTCAATGTGAAGTTCTTGTGTTCTCAAATACAGTAATTTGCAGGACAGCTTAACCTATTCAACTGTGAAATGTTCAATATCTTTTTAATGCATGTGTCTGAGATCCCAATTCATTTTGATAAAAAAAAAAAAAAAGAACAGTGAAATTCAGGCTTTTAAGTCTTTGTGATAATCTGAAGCACTGGTGCACGGTCTTTTCAGTGTGCAAAAAAATAAATTATGTGATAAATGAAACTAAAATCTATTAGCAATCATATACATGTCCACACTTTGAAACATAAAATGTAAGCAAATTGGAGATGAACGAACTCTGCACACATTTAACAAAATTATTTTCCCAAGTTGTAAATGGAGTCCCATCTGGAAACTTAAGTTTTAATACAACCAACATTTTCCAAGAGTGTCACAAGATCAAAATAATATGTATGATACTGTAAATGATGTAACCTGTCCTTGTTTGCAGTCACAGCAGTACTGGATGCATTTGCCCAAAATCGTCTACAGATATCATGACATCACTGCAATTTGTTAAACCCCCGATAATTTTTAAATGAATGCGAGACGTTCACTTAAAAATTAACACTAACAAAAAGCCTGAGGGCAAAAAAACAAAACCATAAACAAGCTTATTTAGTTTATTTATTGAAACTAAAAAATAAAAAGAACAAGCAGGTAATAATGTGACTCAAGCAAACAGAGGTACAGATAATACATTTAAAAAGGTCACTTTTTTAATTATAAAACCCAGAAGATGAATAAACGAAGAAACTCTCACACGCACGCACACACCTGTGGAAGCTACACTACTGCACTCCACAGACGAGCAGTTTGTCCAGCCTGCTGCCTGTTGGGAATTATTCATGTTTGGAGAACAGACTGAAGCCCTGTCCCTCAACATCAGCTGGATACATTTCCACAGGTCATCGTCACTGCCGACAACGAGAGGTCGCACGCACCGCTGGGTCATAGCGAAGGATGTCAGTTGGGCTCCAGAGCAGTCATCACAAAGCTTCACGTGTATATCAACATGACGCACAAAAACCTCCAAGCATTCCCAGCGACAAGAAAAGAAACCCTATAAAAGTCCTGTCCACCTCCACAGAAGAACACAGTGACGGAACAAAAACCCTGCTTTTATATCTAGGACTTCTTTCAAGCATTATAAAGTATGAGCTCTATGTACATGATTCAAAGCATGAAGTCTATGATTCAGCACTGCAGAATAGAATTCAAATAACACTGTGTCTTTATCTGGTGATTCACCCAAGTAGCACAAATGAATCTCTGGTGTTGTTGGCCCTGTGATTCTGAGAACAACTTAATAAAGGTAAGTTTTCTCCAACAGACAAAAAGACTTATTCATACTACACGAAGCTCTAAACCATCCTCAGATTTCATCAGCATGCACAGGGGGGTTTGGACTCCTGTGCAACACCGCAAACTACAAACACCAAGAAGCAAATGGGATCATTGGGTCATTGGACTGGACAGAATATAACCATTAATATACATGATAATCCAAAGAGGAAGGGAGATTTGTTTCACTTCAAACTGCTCCTGCTTAAATTAAGGTTGAGCTACTACACAGTGAGCACCCTGAGCTCTGTGCACATCGTTTCAGATGTTATAAGCTCGATTTAGCCATTTCTCTGCTCTTTGGTGAGACTGAGAGTACTCTTCATGATGCAATCACTGCATTTCCTCACACCAACTCCTCCAGCTGCTTTTAAGGCTGCTTTTAAGGCTGGAAGATGTTGATGGAGGGGGAACCATCCGCAGGCCACAGGACCAGGGGGAGAATAATTAGCCAATAATTATTCACTGACATACGGAGAAGCAACAATGCCTGATCAACACCTTGTGAAGCTGCAAAATGCAAGCTGGGACTGCACGACTGGTGTTAAAAAGTGAAATCAGCTCAGTCTCCAAATAAACTATTGGTTGCATCTTGCAGCTTTAACTCCTGCTAAACAGAGGTGCAAAGCTTTGTGTCGCGTTAAGTCGAGTATTCAGTCAGATAACCGGTTCTCTATTTTGTCTCCGATTTAAAAATAACTGAATAGATAGGAGAGAAGAAGAAGAAAAGCTGTGAGGAGCTCAGACATCTAGCATTGTGTCGGAACACTAAGATGACGCGAAGAGAGGGAGGGAAAAAGTAAAAAAGAGAGAGAAAAAAAAAAGACCCAGGTGTGAGAAGGACAGTATCTGAAAACGTCTCCCTCCCCTTTTTCGCAAAAGCACGGGGAGACGGGTCATCATCGCCATCACTGCCGAACCTCCACATAGTTGGCTGGGAAAAGGCCGTAAGCACCTCTGCACACGCCTCGCCACCAGCCCTCGTCGATCATCTCAATGTTGGTGATGATGTCGTCGGGGTCAAACGAAATTTCGTCGTCGCCCGCTGAAATGGGAAGACATTCATGAGGAAGGAGCTCTAAATGTCTCAAGAGCTTACTGTTGATACAATAATGGTCAAAAACAAAAAAAACTGATCCTCTAAATAATTTCATCCAGGATCTAAAGTGCACTTTGATTCTTCTATAAAGGACATACACATATATACATAAACTCTACCTGCTTGATAGTCATATAGGGCCACAGCTGTCACCCCAAGGTCCTCCCCGTAGTCGTACTGCTGCGTGTCTGCAATTGAACAGTAGTTTAAATAAAAGCTTACAGAGCAATCAGGTGGTTCTACACTACAAGGAACTCTAACCTACAGATTAACAAAGACATGACGGTGCTATAAATGTTGTTTTTTCAACTAATTCCTTATTCACACAAATCTTTCTGTTTAATACTGTTTTAAAACAAAGTGTCATTTTCTACCTTTAGACAATAAAATAAAACAAAAAAAAAAAACAATTGCATAGCAAACAGCAGTTTGTCAGATGAAATGTAAGTAAAAGAATCATGAGTGTAACAGGTTTTAGTCCCTTCTTGGCTCCTGTGTCCAAAGTAGAAAGCTACACTGCATTAATGCCGTCCTGTAATGCAGTGTAAGCATTCCTGTGTGAACGCCAGAGGGGAAAAGCCACCAATAACACAACAATAATAATAATAATAATAATTAAAATAAATAAAATAAAGAGCTTCACCTTCTGCTGCAGACTCCTTGGGGTTCTGGTACAGATCATCGTGCGGTGTGTAGTGGCTCTGTGGCTCTGCCTCATACAGCTGCCCTCCATTCTCAGCGGTGTCGTAGGCCTCATCCTCCTCCGTGTTCTAACACAGTAAACACAGCATGTTAAAGACTGCAGCACTCATGTTAGAGAGAGAGCGCGCTGATTTGGAGAGCTAGCTTATACTATCGCCAAACTATACTGTAATAGTATTAGTAAGGTTTACCAGACACAGTAGCGTCTGAAACAACTCCAGTCCCAACAAGTTAGTTTCTCCTGATCAAATTAGGTTTTTATAAGTTAAAAAAAACAAGACCTGAAGACAATGTTTTAAAGTTTGGTGTCATGTATACTACATGCATGCATCCAAGCTTTTCCTGGATAACGATGATGATGATAACAATAATAATCCACTGTTGGTCTAAAACACAGCAGTGCCACAAAGAGTGATGCAAAAGTGTCTGTGTGTTAATGGGCGATCGTGGCTCAAGAGTTGGGAGTTCGCCTTGTAATCGGAAGGTTGCCGATTCGAGCCCCGGCTCCGACAGTCTCGGTCGTTGTGTCCTTGGGCGAGACACTTCACACGTTGCCTACTGGTGGTGGTCAGAGGGCCCGGTGATGCCAGGGTCCTCTGTCAGTGCGCCCCAGGGTGGCTGTGGCTACAATGTAGCTGCCATCACCAGTCTGTGTGTGTGAATGTGTGGATGACTGGATGCTTTGGGGTCCTTAGGGACTAGTAAAGCGCTATACAAATCCAGGCCATTTATGTGCCGAGTTCTCTTCCTGGGAAACAGTCTTTGTATAAAAACTTTGCAATCGCAATCAAGTCCTGTAAAAAACATTCTTTGCGTCTCTACATGGGCAGCGTCACAGTGAGCTTTAGGCCTAAACCTAAGCATTCAAAAATCACTACGACTCACCCCGTGGCTTCTAACTGGTTGAACCGCTGGAGTCGGGCTTGGGGTCGGACTGGGACTTGCAGCAGGGACAGGAGACGGGGCTTTGGCAGTCTCTTCAATTTGGCGGCGCGCTGCCTCCTGCTCTTGCTGCTCCTTGGCCTGACGACGCAGCCGCTCCTCCTCAGCCCTCTTTCTGTCCTCCTCCTCTTTCTGCTTGGCGATGTTCTCAAAGCGGGCCTTGATGCTTCCTGTGCTGCTGGCACCTGATGAGAACGATTGGGAACGGGGAGGAAACAAAGTGACGTCGACTACCTAGTTTCCTCAAGTTGTGACTAACAGACGGCTGATGATGAACGATGCTCACCGGCCTCCACAGGTTTGGTTTTCTGGTAAGCTGGAGTCAGCTTCTCCACATTCTCGAATGTGCTCGCGCTCTGCTCAATGTCAGACGTAACATGTAAGACAAGGCCCTCTACAGAAAAGTACGCACAAACACGGAGTCCTTACCTTATCCATGCGATCATTCTGGACACCAAACTTCCCTCCAAAGCCTTTAGAATAATCTGGCAACAAAGAGGAGAAAAAGTGAATGTTACTTTGTGTCTAAGGACTCAACTACAATGTGCATCACCAGAGCCTGTGCTCCAGAGGAGAGCTCAAACGCACTCTCTGGTCCGAGTTCAGCTGAAGCACACTGTAGGTTGACTGGGCCGACTGAAGATGTGCAAGAATCAAAGAAGCAGGAGGAAAACGAAACGGGCTGACAGGAGAATGCTGACACAAGGAAACATTTGTTCATGCGGCCAACTCAGCTTAATCTCTGCAATGAAGAAGAGCTGTGTCCGTGCAACAATAGCAGGAAGCCTTCGTTTTAAAGAATAAATCAAAAATATGCAGTGTGGTCATACAGAATCATGCACAAAATATATGCATAAGCAAAACAAACAGCATCACGGCAGTGCCACAAACAGCCAGGGGTGGTGAACAGGGAAGGCCGAGGCGATATGATAGCGGCTTTCAAGTTATTCACGGGAACTGCCCCCTAATTGGCCCTTTGGACATTTTGTTTGCTGCGTTTATGGTTTCACTGCCTTTTACGTGGAATTTGCTGATATGATTGACAGAAGCAGTCTGCTGTTCGTCCCCCTGACAGACATCCTCGTAGGGTCGTTCCTGCAGCTGGATAAAAGATCCAGGCTGCAAACCACACAGTAGGGCTGGGCCATATACCGTCCATGGTAATACCGGTATAATATTGGGCAACAATAAGAAAATGAGATATCGCAATAGAATATGGGTAAACACGCATGCGCAGTGCCTTTGTTTTCATACGCACATGGCGGAAAGTATTTTGTCTAGTGTCAATTACATCGTTATCGCAAATTTTCAAATGTATATCATGATAAATAATTTTGGTCTTATCGCCCTGCTCTACTGCTCATCTCCTGGGATTTCCCTGTACAT